GGGAAGGTCTCCCAGTCTAATAAGCATATTATCCTTTATTAGTATAGATAGAGGCCTGGTGCATGGGTGGGGGCCAGCTGATCTCCCCTGTAGAGGGTCCCGGATCAGGGTGGGGGTCCCCTTGGGGGGCCGGGCCGGCCTGGGCGGGGGGCTGAGGGCCATTTTCAGACTGGCCACAACTGAGGTCCCTGCTGGGGGGCGTGGCTGGCCTGGGTGAGGGGCTAAGGGCTGTTTGGGGGCAGTTTGCAGGCTGGCCAAGTCCCCAGCTTTGTCTGGAAGGACATCTGGAAGGTCTCCTGGTCTAATTAGCATATGACTCTTTTATTAGTACAGATAATTCACATATCACACAGTTCACCTTCCAATGTGTACAGTGCAACGGGTTTTAGCATATTCACAAGGCGTTCAGTCATCACCACAGTTGAGTTGAGGACATTTTTCTCCCCACAAGAAGCCCCATATGTAGTCCCCACCCCATGGGCCCCAGGCTACAGTAACCACTTTCTGTCATAGACCTGGCTATTCTGGGCGTTTCATAAAATGGAGTCGTATGCCATGTGCTTTCTGCACCTGGTCACGGCGTCATGTGCACCCTGTCATAGCAATGTCAGTGTTGGGGCAGCTTTTTGAGAGCCTGTCTTCCTTGTAGAAGGTACAGAATGAAATACCAGCTTTCACTCTACCCAGCATGTGGCAGCAGCTACTTCTGGTCTGTGCATCTGTCTCAGACCTTTGATAATCCAGCTACGTGACCTCCACACACAGTTCACCGGCTCATGCTCTGAGCTCACCGTGCATTTGAAAGTGCGTCCACATCCTGCCGGGTGAGCGTGAACTCGGGCCACATGCAGCCAGGGTCACCTGGGCGGAGGGGATGTTCTGGGAGCTTCTACAACGCCCGGTAAATGTTTGACTAATATCTGAAGCTGTGGACCTGTTCTGGCAGCACCTGTTAAACCCACACAGTCGTGTAAACACTGGAAGCGGAGGCCGTTTTTCCTGCGTTTCTCTCCTCAACGTTATTTCTGCGAAGGAACATGAAGAGCTGCTCCCCTCTGGATGGTGAGCGAGAGGAGACCCAGGATTCTGTGTTTGGAACCAATGGGTAGAAATAGCAGCAGATGTGCCGGCCGCCTGCCCATCCCCATTGCTTCCTGTGGTTTGCTGTCCTCTCGGGGGAAGAATTACTGCACAGCGCAGCCCGGATGCCCAGCTGTTGGTGGTGGGAGAGGTTTAGTTGAGGGTCGCCGTCTGCGTGAGCAGGAGCATGTTTCCCAGCTGAGCTCGGCGGTGGTGGCAGTGGTGTCGACGGGTGCGATAGGAGCAGGTGAGCCTGGCTGGGCAGGGCTCGGTGCTGGGAGAGCCCAGCGCTCACCCCGCTCCCTCCTTCCTCCAGGACTGAGGGACCGAGGAACCAGGCTTCCAGAGGGGGTCTGCCTGCCCCAGCTCCTGGGGCCCCTGGACTGGACCAGCATCCCTGGGCATGTCCTGTCCAGGCCCCTCCGGCCCAGAGGGGAGCAGTAGGGAGTCCACAGCCAGCTCACCCCGTTCAGGCTGCCCACGCGGATTCGGGGCGATGTGGAGGGCAGGGGGTGGGGAAGAAGAGGAGAGACCAGGAGGCTCTGAGGTAGAGCACCTTTTAGGTTGTTTCTGTTCGCATCAGCGGCCTGTCAGCCGTGAGCCCCACTGTCTCCAGTGCTGTCGCGGGGCCTGTGCACCTCCCGCTCCCCCCGCCCCACACACACACCTGCTGCCCCTTCGCTCTGCCCCCCTCCCCTCCCACTGCAGCCCACCCAGCCCGAGAGGCCTTTGCTTGGGCATTGAGACGTTGCCGTGGGCCGGGATGGGCCCTCGTTCAGCTCCGTGGAGGCCCTCCCTGCTCTCCTGAGGACTGAGTCCCGTAATTGTTTCCCAGCAAAGGCTGTCTCCCCAGTAGGTGTGGGGACAGCGTGGTCTTACCCTCTCTCCCTGTGACCTCAGAAGGGACTTGGGGTGCCGGCCCTTCCTTCCCTAACTGCCTCCGGCAGGCGGGCTCCTCTGGGCTGCGTCTCTCAGACCTTCTGCGGTCGGTGGCCTCCTCTCAGCGGTGGTGCACACACTGCTCCCTGCAGCCGGGAAGCTCCCTCTGCAAACATGCAGGTGCCCTGGAACCGCCACCATTGCCATGCCACGGCCGGCCCAGGTGTCAGCCACGGCGGCTGCACAAGGCCCTGCGTGACCAGGAAGGGACCGCACAACCTGGGTGCTAGCACCGCGACTCAGTAACATAAGACCATGGTCTGGGCGAGGCGCGTCGCTGTGAACAGCAGTTAGACTGAGAGGAGAGCTGGGGAGAAGCCTTGGCCTCGCTTTTCACTCTTTCTCGGGCCGGGAGGAGGGTGCCCGGGGGCCATGGTGACCCCGTGGCCGGCTCTCAGGATGGTGGGGAGTTGTCTTCCCTCCGAGGGTGGCATAGTCCTTCCCAGGTGCATGGTCCACGCAGAGAGTCGTGGCTGCTGGACCCCAGAAAGCGTGCCTGAGAGAGAGACTGGGGCTGAGGATGGCAGGGCTGTCACCCCCCGGCCCCCAGAACCTGGGCTCAGGAGGACACAACTTACCCGAAACTCCCCGGGCAGCGTCACCTGCAGAGCGGGCCCAGCTCAGACACTGACTGTGGGCGGAGCGAGCGGTGCTGCCCTCACTGCAATGCTCTCGATGAGATTCCTGTGGCCTCGCAGTAGGTTCTGTTCCGTCGTCATGGTCAGCCCCTGGGGCAGCCGCCAGGGGTTCTCTCCTGTGCAGAGGAGCAGCAAGGAGGCTCGGGTCAGGTAGCCACGTTCTCAGAGCGACAGGGGCTGGCGTGGGAGCCCTGACCCCACGCAGACCCACTCCTGCTGCTGTTCCATCGGATTAAGGACAGAAAAGCAGGGACGGGCGGGACGGGGGCCACACTGGTCCTGCCCGCGCTGCTGAGTCTTGCGAAGGAAGGCGATGCTGACATGTGCCACACGTGTGCTGATACATGCCACAGAGTGTGCCACGCGTGGATGGGCCCTGAGGACCTGTGTTCAGTGAGACAGCCAGTCTCTGAGGGACAGACACCACACAGTCCCACTCCGTCTGAGGACACGGAGTCGTCAGTCACAGGGACAGAGGTGGCATGGCCAGGAGGAGCCGAGGGAGGAAGGGGGTTTAATGGGGATGAGTCTCCGTTTCGTGTGTTTTCCCACAATTGGAAAAGTACTCATGTTTGTTGAGTGCGCGCTGAATGCCAAGCACGACAGACGTCTCCCGTGGTTCTCGAAGTAGCCCTCCGGGACGCAGGGCCACCTCACGCTCTGGAGGTGCAGCCTGAGGTTTGGTCACAGTCTCCGGTGGTGGCCGGAGTGGGTGACATCCGTGCGCGTCCGCGATGTGCAAGGGGGGCTCCCTCCCTGCCAGGCGCTGGCCCCGGAGATCAGAGGTCGTGAGCTGCGCGTCCCCCGGTCCTGAGAGCAGGGAGTAGTCTCCCTCTGCCTCTGGAGGCTGGGCCTCCTCAGGCTCGGGGTTCCCCGGGGCCTGGGCGTGGGGGTCACCATGGGCATCCACTGCAGTGGCCTCGGTGGAAGGCGTGACCTCGCTGCCTTCCTTACAGACCACAGTGATCGCCTACGTGAAGCCCTCAGACCTCAAGAAGGACATGAATGAGACCTTCAGGGAGAAGTTCCCTCACATCAAGTTAACGCTCAGCAAAATCAGGAGGTAGGTGGCCGTCCGCTTGAGCTCCCTCACCCGTCCCAGCGCCCAGCGCACTTGTGCTCTGGACGGCGGTTCAGGCAAAAGGTGGGCAAGTTCAGCAAAGAGCCTCCTGAGCCCTGGCGGAGGCTCGGTGGTTCAGGCGTCCCCGAGGGACTCAGGTTTGCTATTCAGTCAAGGGCCCGGACCTGGCTGCAGGTTGGATCGTGGCCTCGGCCTGGGGGGGGGGGGCAACCAATCGATGTGTCTCTCACATCAATGTTTCTCTCTCCCTCTCTTCCTCTCTCTCTAAAAATCAATGGGAAAATGTCCTTGGGTGAGAACTAACAAAGGCCTACGAGGGGCTAGCTGCTGGGAGGGCCTCTGTGAGCACCAGGGCAGGGGGCAGAGGGCAGGGGGCGGGTCTTGTGGCAGGAGCTGGCAAGGACCAGGGGAGGCGCCTGTTAAGGAAAAATCATTTCCGCAGCCCACCGTTTAGTCCAATTTATGTTACGGGAAACAGCATAGGAGTCACGTTCTCAGATGCAGGCAAAGCAGGAGAGAGCAGCTGGGCCCTGGGTCTGAAATGGCTCCCTGCCCACAGCTACTCCCAGGAGGGACGGCCGAGTCCTGTCTTGCAGCAAAGCAGCCGAAGCAAAATCACGTTCCCTCATGGCCAATGGCGCATGCCTGCCAGCCAAGCAGTCTCTGGCTATGCCAGAGAGAAACCAGCGTGTGAGACCTGTGTACCAAGAGAGCGTGTGCGTGCGTGTGGGCATGTGCGTGCGTGTGTATGCATGTGTGTGCGTGGTAATGGGTCTGGACTGCGTGTAACAACACCATGTTGGAGTAAGTGCCAGCATTTATGTCCACGTGAATCTTGGTGCTGAGCTGGTGCTGGCGAGTTGGGTTTGACCAAAGATAAGAAGACGGTCACTCTGTCTTCTCACTGGGCAGCCGCCCTGAGCTCACGGGGGTGCTGAGCCTGACCGCCTGACGTCAGCAGCAAACGTGACTGTCACTCCACAGCGCTGACTCCAGACGCCCACCTCACGGCCGTCTCCGTCTCTGGCAAGACCTCGTCCCTCCTGTGGGGTCCCTCTTCCATCTGGGCAGCTCTCCGAGTGTCCAGGGACCCCGTCTGCCCTGGGGTCCAGTGTGCGCCTGTGCCGTGTGCTCTAGACCACGGCCGCCAACCTCTCGGACCTTGTGGACCACCGGTTGGCGACTGCCAGTCTAGACGAGTCTCTTCCCCACGCGATGCAGCATCTCACGGTTTAGTGCCCGTCCCCTGGGGAAGGCAGGGCAGTGCTTTCTGGGTGAAGTCTTGTCCTCGGGGCCCTGGTGCTCAGGCTCCAACAGGCCCCTCCCTGCCCCTCCAGCCTGAAGCGCGAGATGCGGAAGCTGGCGCAGGAGGACTGCGGCTTCGAGGAGCCCACGGTGGCCATGGCCTTCGTCTACTTCGAGAAGCTCGCCCTCAAGGGGAAGCTGAACAAGCAGAACCGGAAGCTCTGCGCTGGAGCCTGCGTGCTGCTGGCGGCCAAGATCGGCAGCGACCTCAGGAAGCATGAGGTCAAGCACCTGATTGATGTGAGTGGCCGTGGCCGTGGCCGGTGTTAGGTTAGGTGGCAGAGGAGGCGGTGAAGGAAATAAAGAGAGTTGATCAGAAAAGGAAGGAAAGTTTATTCTGCGTCCCCAGGAGACCCATGTACCCCAAGGACAGGGCACATGGATTCACGCCAACAGGGAGGGGGACACTTTTTTTATACTGCGGTTGGGTGAGGGGCGGGGACATGAGCTGAGGTATTCCGCTGAGGAAGTTTCCACTGCAGGGGGTCAGCAGGGGTATTCAGGAAGGAGTCAGTATCTGTGTGGGGTCGTGTTGATTCAGGGAGAAGCCAGTATCTGTGTCTGGCATGATTGGCACCTTGATCTGTGAGAAATTCCAGGGGGGAGTCCATTATCTTGTCACATGTCTGCATGTATCTGATCCTGGGTTCTCTCTGACCTAACATCCCGGCCTTTTGGTGATAAGGGATAAGGGACGGCGACTCTTTCTGACTGCTTCCGGCTGGCTAAGGGCGACGAGGGGGGTCGTTTAAAAGAGACAGATGAGGGCAGCCGAGTGTAGGGATGGAGCAGGAGCTGATTCACAGTCACCTGTGACATCTCCGTTATCCAGGAGCAGATGAACTTGAGGAGACGGGGCTAGGAGAAAAAAGACACAGATGAGAGGGAGCCGAGTGTAGGGATGGAGCAGGAGCTGATTCACAGTCACCTGTGACATCTCCGTTATCCAGGAGCAGATGAACTTGAGGAGACGGGGCCAGGAGAAAAAAGACACAGATGAGAATCAGGGGCCCTATCATGGGTAGGACCTAGGTAGCTAAGGGGCTTTGGCACCA